TGAGTAAAAACATAGGGAGACATTCAGAAAATATTAAAAAAGAAATTCCCATTAAAATCTTTCCAGGTTTGTGCCTCGTAAAACTACCCAAATGTAACACTTGAGTATTTTAGACCACCAGTGTTAAGAAACAATACTGGGGTTATCAGCATTTGTTAGAGTACTTATATCACACAGTTCACATGGGATAACCTCTCAGTGTTAGCAAGCTATGTATTATTATTCCTAATAAGACCCTGTTTCAGGCAAAAGAATTTATAATTTAATTATAAGAATATGAAATACAATGTAACTCGTGACACAGTATGCACTTTTGTCAGATAATTGCAATAGTGGGCACATAAAGCTTTACCAGGCAGGAAATAAAAGCAGGTGAGGGAGCTGTACCTCATTTATCACCTTGCTGACTAATGAGAATATGAACAGAGATCAGTCTGGTCCCAGCACATCCCCAGACGGTGTGCAATAAAAATATACACTGCAGACAGTTCCACTAACTTAATATACCCACCCGGCAAGTGTCGGTTCAGAAAAATCCACAAAGAGAAATAAGTGATAAAATAATATGTAGCTAAACTAACTCATTTATCAATAGAGACAGAATAATTATTAGGAATGCCCAGACTGTATGTCTGGTGATAGAAATGAATAATGGGCACATTAACTACATTATTTTAAATTAAGGACACATTTTAGAAAACCAAAAATCTAATATAAGTCTTCTCTACAGCTAAGCTTGAATTATACTCAGATACATGGAAATGATGAGATGCTTGATTTTACATACCACAGGAAAAAAAACCAAAACAAAACAATGCACAGGGTCTCTTGTTAATAGTAGTAACAAGATTATACATCAAGCTTTGACATTTTCACATTAGAGAAATTAGATTATATAAAAATCTAATCTACTGGAAAGGGGCATTGTGGAACTTTTGTGTTCTTCTACAACTGCACTGGTGCAGCAGGCACATTAGTCTAGTTAGGATCCTTGTAACACCTAGGCTGGCTATCAAACACTTGTTAGGAACTCACAATTCCAACTAACCCCCAACTTAAAATGGAGCTCTTAAATTAAGAATTTGTTACAGGTGCATCAGAAAAGCCATTTTTTTTTTCTGGACAGATTTTTGGGACAGAGTTCCTAAGATAGCACATGAATAAATTAGGTTCTCTATATAGTTGAAACCCAGTTTGTCATATTGACATTTTGACTCTCCAAATATATAAGCCTCCCCAATTCAAAATATTGCTTATTTTAAATTCAATGCAGTGAGCAGTTATCTTTGCTTGGCACAAATGATCCTATATTTGTAAATTACATATGTGGGTATACAACAGCAGAAGATATAAATGATTTACCATTTAGGCTTTGAATTCCCAGGAGGAATGAACATGTTTGTTAACCTCTTCAATAAAACAAATGGAGAGAAAAAGAAAATATTCCCAAGATTTAGAATGGAACATCATCCAGCAGGAACACAAATAAATGCTTATTTTGGGCAAAGAAGCAAGAAATCAATTATTTTTAGGCAATAACCTGAAGAGTAGAGGACTGTGAACAGATAATAACTTCCCATTTTTGTTGACACTGGCAATGAGAAGCCTTCCTATTTTCAAAATGGAGAAGGAAGAACTGAATTATGTCATTATAGTCAGCAAATTCAATGCTGCCTTAACATAAATCTTGCTGAGTCTCAAAGTCAGTCAACAATGACTACCTTTCTATTGTAGAAAGTGTCTTCAGCCTCTCCCTGCCAACTCTCTCCACCTTACACCCTGGTCATTCTACATTCTTTCATTCTGAGAAGATAATTAAGGAAATAGGATTTGCCAGACCCATTTTACTGTCTTCTCCTTTAAAACTTTTACTAGTGACAGCCTTCAAAAATTAGAAACGAAGCTCCATGCCAGCTGTCCTCCTTCCTTGGGCCACACTGTGAAAATATAGACTCAAAGGAAATAGCATGTATGTAAAAGTGACAGCAACAGCACATGCTGAAAAGTGTGCTGTAGATAAATGTGAAATGTCAGTTTCTTCCTCTATTGGAAAAATTTTCAGATGATAACTCAGCTTGCGGCTGGAAAGAGAATGGGTTCGATCAATGCACTTAGTTGGACAAATGGATAGAAGAATTTTACTATAATTTTGCCAATGCTTATTGTGTGGACTTGGGTATGTCACTGCCATTTGGTGAACAGAAGTGAGAGTAGATAAACCACAGAAAAAAAACAAAAAAATGAAAAATTCATTCAAATTGCCAGATAGAAAAAAAATGCCTCTATCAGCTGCCAAACTATTACATAATTTCCTTTAGTTGAAATGAAAAACATTAGGGCATATATAAATGAAAATGACCATTTTTTAAAAATCATACACAATTGTTTTATAACCTTTGAACCAAAGTCCTAATGTAAAATATTGTGCAAAAGGAGGAGAGTTTGTAAAAATTTGAATGCCCCATTTCACGAAATTTTAAAATTTAATTAATTAATTAATTAATTATTTTATTTTATGTGCATGAGTGTTTTGCTTGCATGTATGTAAGTGCACATGTCGTGCATTGACAGCAGAGGCACTGTCAAGAAAAGGGCACTGGATCCCCTGGAACTGGAATTATGGACAATTGTTAGCTGCCACTTGGGTGCTGGGAACTGAACCTGGGTCCTTTGCAAGAGTAGCCACGGCTCTTAACTGCTGAGCCATCTCTCTAGTCCCCATTTAATGAATTTTTGACCATAAAATGTGAATACATTTGAAATATGTATAATATGAAATATGTATAAATATGAAAAAATAGGATTCAGCATTTGATAAGTATTCCTTTGTGTATTGAAAATATTTCCCTGGTACATTAAACATAGATTATACTAAGGAAAAATCCACTTGACTGTTAGAAATAAACACTAAATAAAGTTAAGATAATCCCATATTTATGTTTATTTCAAGAGACATCACAACTAATTAAATATTAGAATATATATGCAACATAGGCAAAGAATTAAGCACACACTCCTGTTAGTTTCAGGAAGTCTTTATCCATTTGCAAGAAGCAATCACTGGCTCCAACGAATCTTAGAGTAGAAGGCTAGAGCGATCATCTACTCCAGGATTTTAAACACAGGTCCTAGGTAGACTCTCATGGCACCATAAGCTCCTGCAAAGTAGGTATAATTTGTTGTTTTCAAGAGTATGAATTTTATCAGAAGACATTCAGGTTGCATCAAAATCTTAATCTGTGAACCTGAAAAGAATCACCAAGAACTGTGGAACTAGCTTACTTTCCAGTTTATAAATAATCCCAGAGTGTTTAAAAGATTATTCCAAAACCAAAACTTTGAAGAAGCTATAAAAAACCTAGAAAGTGGTCTCTTGATGACCAGTTAGTGTACTGCTATGCCCACATTAGCTTTCTCAGACGGCAGGTAAGGGGAAGACGAGCTAAGTGTTCAGTGTTTCCGTGACCAGACCTTATCACAGGTAGGACAATAGTATCTTGGTCAGAATATTACCTATAAATACAAAGTCTGAAGATATAAGAGGTAATAGGGAAGGTCTACATGAGTCAAACACAAAATGCATGACTTCCAAACACCAAGCTGCCTGTATACCAGGCTCAGATGCAGCTATGCTCTGCTATCCTGCAGCACAAGGAAAGACATATATAAGCTGACAGACAATGTCTCAAGAGCCCTAGTGGGAAAAACAGATACTGAGATATATTGCAAGCTAGAAAACTAGATTTAACATGGCCTCATAGTATGACTTTCTCTATTTCTCTGCCTCAACATAACCACTCTGGCCCCCAGACAGACAGGCACACTTACCAACAGGTAAGGGATAATTTCAAGGTTTAGACAGGTAAGTTATGAGTTAACTCAAAGCATAGAATCATGCTTATTATTTATCAAAGGAAAGGAGAAAATAATTGAGTGATGATTTCAATGATTTTTCATAATTAATTTTGGAATAAAATGCCACTAAAATAAATAATTATGTATAGTAATCCTGTCAAGACCCTCTGTCTACTTAGTGTCTCTAAGAAAATCATTTCATTTGTATTCATGTATCAATGTGCACATAAATATCTAAGTTCATACAGTGTATTTACTGTCTGAAACACCTGAAACACAAATTACTTAAACTCCTTGTGACTCCAGTTCCCTACAAATAAAATGAAGAAAAACCAGTAGTGACCAGATTGGGATGTTCAGAGGACTATATGTGTAATATTTGTAAAGAACCTATTACATTTTATGTTGATCAGAACAGCTATTACCATCACCATCACTACCACAATAACTTATGGGGAGGAAGGAGTTAAAAGACAAAACTGTTTAATTGATGAAATTCTTAAACTACTATGAAAACTCAGCTCAATTTGTTCCCTGGGAGAACACCAGAAAGTATCCAACAAGGCTTCATTTAGTTTTTAATTGTGACAGCATTCTCATGGCCGTACCATGCCAGTTTTCTCTACCCAAATGGGTTGGATTGATCTATCAATGAACCAGTTCCCTTTCCTCTTTATAACTGTGGACTTGGTGGCCTCAGGTGCTCCCAGCCTCAGTGACACCTCCTTTTTGGAAGTCCTATTCATCCAAGTCTTCTCTCTCTGCAGTAACTCTAACAGTTTAAAGAAAGTAAGAATTCACAGGAGTTTGCTTCTTTGTAAGTGAAATGCTTTCATGACAACTGAAAGGATGAGCTCTCTTGGTGTTGATGGACTAGTGTAGTGCTATGGAAGCAACGGCACTATGAGACAGTGAAAACTTCTGTTCATGTCTGCTTTGCATGATTTTGTTAGGGCTGTTATCCTGTGACAGGGACCCATCCAAGGCCATGGAAAACTGAAGGGCTAAGAGCTTCCAACACCAACGCAGATCCAAGACATCCACTGGGGTCCATCACCAGCATCACACATGTAATTAACCATCTCATGAGGTCACAATCTCAGATATTTTACTTTAAATTGTGTTGTAAAAATAAAGATTTTTACCTTTTCATATTCAGCAATGCCCAAGGTATTCCAGAGGGAGTACGAAATGCAGGTAGCAATTTCACCCCAAGTTCTACTGCTTTCTTTCGAAATATCTGAAAAGTTAAACAATGAGTAAGCTGTTGTTGCAAGGAAAATAAAATGTTCTACACTATTACAGTTAGCACTTTTTACATTAAAATAATGACTATCAAATCGGTCTGGGGCCGTCACCTTGTAGGGTTCTTATCTCCAACCCTGCTTGCACATTACAATCATAAGGGAGAAGGTGGTAACACAATTCAGATGTGTGGGTCCTGCACCCTTGATATTAATTTCTAGTTTGGGGCTGCCAGATCAGGTGTTTGAAAGCATATAGACAATTCAGGTAATTTCAACATGCATACTAGGGGGAGAACCCATTATTATAGAAAGACGTGTCACAGACCGAGAGTTAAGACATCTCCTAGTGTACCTTCAGCATACTTATTAGGGAAAAAGAAAGAAAAATTAAAAAGACATAGTATCCCAAGTAATCTATATATCCTCAAAGCCTCACTTTTAACTCTTCTGATATTAAGTGAAATATGAAAAAAAAAAAGTTAAATTAGGTATGGATTCTGCCCAGAGTGTAGTAGCAGGAGAATTCAGACAAATATCTAGAAAACAGATAAAATGAGAGTTGGGGGCGACCAAATCCTTTAAGTGTTCAGGCATTAGCAAGGCTCTAAGGTAGAGACAACCTTTAGATGAGAGGATACAGCACGGACCGAGGACACATAATACTCGAGGCTGAAGAGAGGTGTGGGGAATGGAGCAAATTCAGCTGGCAGAACTGTGCTTTAGGAAAACTAATCGGATGACATCTATTTACTGTCATAAGCTCAAAATAAAGTACTGCCATATTCACTGAAGGAAGGACAACTGCCACTTTTCTGCAGCAGCTGTGACACCAAACAGGCACCTATCCCTTCACCTTCAAACCATATGACTGAGTCTGGTGGGCTGGGAATTTACTATTCTCTTTTATCACCTTAAACATGGAAGGAAGCTGAGGAGCCCCAAAGGCTTGGAGAAGGAAGACAAAAATCTTTCCTTAGCCAGCAGGTGAGCACTGGTTACAGTACTTATCAAGAAAGTCCTGTGTGTCCTCCTAGAGAGAAGGGCTCCCCACAGCTCCTGTTCCAAGACCTGAGCCTCCCCATCGAGAGACCCGAGTACTCAGGCTCCAGAAAGGAAGATGATCTGTCAAACCAACATGGAGGCTATCACACAAACCCTACTCTTTCGGAGTCACTCTCATTTGGTAATGAAAATTAAAAAAAGAAATGAGTTTCAAATAAAAACCCAAGCCATCAACCAAGACAAACTGACATTCACTTCATACAGAGGCACATATATCTGTGGTAAATAGAAAGTTATATAAAAAAAAATAGGGGCCATTTCCCCCCACAAATGATCAACTGCTCTCATGAAAAGGGACAGTTTCCTACATCAGTAGTTCATGGAAAGATGGGGAGAACAAAGAAGATTCAAGGCTTCATTCTTCCTTCCTTTTCTCTGCCCTACCCTAGGGAATTCCAGGCTGGCTTCTACGGTAAGGATTTATCCTATCACTGCCCAGCCATCTGTGGACTTTCTGGTTTCCACCCAACTTTTTAAACTGTTAATTAACTCTTTTTCAAGATGCTTACATAAGATAGTAGTCAAACTATGCAATTAAAACACCATCTTGGATATAAGCATATGGCGTGTGAGCTAAGGGCTCAGGCTTTGAAGGCATGATGCCCGTTTGAATCTCTGCTGCACTGTTTCAAACTGAGTCATCTTGGGTCAGTTGCTTAATTTCTCTGTGCTCAAGCCTGCTTGCCTATAAAATAGGCAAGCATAACAGCAGCATTTGCGTTTGAAAGGTTGTGGAGAGAAATAAAGAAGTTATATTTATGGACCTCAGAGCAGATAGTGATCACTCTGGAGGTTAGTTGTAGTTTTGATGGTCATAATGATGACAGTACTCTGATAACGCTCTGCATTTACTGCCAGAAGCTGTCCCTTATTTTGGTTTACGTATAATTCTGTCATGGACAGCACCTTTACTTGCCTGCCTCCAAGGCTTAATCATGAGCATTCATTCTCAAGAGCCAAGCCCTCTGTTCTTATTACCTGCTCTCATCCCCACATTCTTCTCACCTTTGCCCTAGTTCTTCACTTATACGCAGAGGCACACATCACAACGTGAGTGCCTACTTGTTTTCTGAAACTTAATCTGTCCCATATAGAACTAATAACTGAATATCCCAAACACATTTCCCCAGTTCCATCTTGGGCTTGAGAGCAGCCATTTCTGTATTTGATTTATTGCTTTTCGGTGACCAGGTTTATCAGTGTTAATTCTGAAATGTCTTATGGACAGCTTACTCACGGATGAGGACAGACCACCTTTTCACTGCCAGGTACAATGAAATGAATGATAAAAAAGGTTCTCCTATCTCAGCCATCACTTTCCCTTGTTTCCATTAAGCTGTATCTGTATTACCAATTGTCTTTTATTAACCTTAAAACTTCTTTGTTTAAGAAACCATATTGGAGCTGAAGAGATGTCTCAGGTTGCTCATGAAGAGAATCTGGATTCAGTTCCCAGCAGTTATTAACTCTATGTAACTCCAGTTCCAGGGAATCCGACACACTCTTCTGACGACTCTGTGGGCACTGCATGGCATGGGTACACCTACCTACATACAGGCGGTATACTCATATGCATAAAATTAAAAAAAAAAAAATAAAGAAATCACAATGATTTTGTCTGTTATCGAAGCTATTCTACTAACCCTTCTCAGCAGCCTCCATGAGTCAGGCCTACCTACCATCTTTTACTTCCTCAAAGGTTACTCTGGTTCTGACTTGTGAGACTCCATAGTCTCAAACTTCTGTTCAAGTTCAGTCCACTTTAGCAGTTATTAGCCCAATTCTCTCATTTTACTGCCTCCTTTGGGGCCCATCAAATACATTCATTCTACAAGGTCAAAGTCAATTCCCAAGTGTAAGATCTTTGCCTTTCACAAATGCCAACTCTAACAGCTTGCATCACATGATGCAATGTTTGAAGAGGAAAGAGATCTTTAAATGGTTTCATGTGCTTCCATGTCCCCCAATAATTTCCTTTTCTTTCTGAAAGTAGAAAGATTTTAATCTCTTCTACTGCCTATTATATACAGTTAGCCTAGATTAAATAATTTTGCATTTTAAATTTGTTGATACCAGCATAGTATTCCTACTAGTAGTAGATAGGAAAAGAGTTATGTTCCGGGTTAGAAGCTAGGAAACTGGTGATTCACCAGCTCAGGGGCTTGCCTTCAGTGTCCTCTGGCCACAATGCCCTCTGCAGGCCCAGCTCATTCTTTTCTTTGGGAATCTGTTCAAATATCCTAGAAGGGTTCTTCTAGACCTTCCCCCCATCAAAGCTGGCCATCTTCATTTTATGTTTATCACATTACCTTGTATATCCATCCCACTGATTTTCATTGCTTGTTTACTTTCTTATTTATTGTTTTGACAACCCCCCTAAATACCAGCGTGAGGAGGGCATGGACTTTAAAAAAAGGCAATAAAGGAGTTAGAATTTAAAATGCCCATTTAATAAATGATTGAATCAATCAAAGGTTAATTAACATGCCTAAGGCACTGTAATCAGAAACCACTGATATTATAGTGTTTGCAAAGTGCTTCCTCTTATTCCACTAGTTTGCTATTGTCACTAAATAATCATCTCAAGTATCCTAGAGTTTCAACCTTGGGTGTAATTAGGGGACAATTACAAAATATTTGTGGAGAAAAACATTAATTATCTTATTGATGCTTTAAATTAAATAACACATGAGGCTCATTCAATTTTAATTCTCTGTGTATGACCTGTCATCTCCTCCTGATATTTAAAGGAACATTACTTGGAAGAGGATTCCAGATTCTAAAAGAGAACATCTTCATGATGTATAATAAAACTAGCTTATAAAATTAACATTGTTAAGAGAATGAAAAAGACATGTCACAAATCATTCTAAAGGGCAATTAAGCTTTAAGTGGTCCATCTTGGATAATGTACAGAATATCAAATTATTACAAAAAACACAAGAGATGGCACTTCGTGCTCTTTCAAGGGGGGCAGGCATGACAGTGGGATGAGGGCCGGTAGCAGGCACCTGGGCCCTGGCCTGGTCTTCTGTTTCAGATTTGGTGTAAAGTGTCTCGTTCACTTTCCCCAGTACAAACAGAGCTGACAATTTCTGTTTCTGATCTATCATTGGGAAAACAAGTACTTAGTAGCCACAAAACTAGAACTAAAGCATACCTGGCCACATAAGGCAAAACTACCATCAATTTTATAAGATTATCACCCAATTCTGAGTTAATCTTGATCTTCCAAGTTTGTTGGCACTATACTTGGTGGGGAAGAGTTTAATTGAGAAGGCAAGATGACAGTTCATAAGATGTAATCCTTGCTCACAACAGAAGACCTTTTTTCTTCTCTTCCTCTTCCTCCTTCCCTCCCTCTCTTTCTTTCCTAGAAACCATTAATAGAAAATTGTTTTTTAAATAACTACCAATCAGTTTGAGATGGGCAGATATTTTATGAACAAGAAGAGTCTTCAAAATATTTTTGCATTACAGAGATTCTGATCACATTCATAGCAAAAGTCAAAACCAATATAATTTTCTGAAAAAAGGGTGATAACATATGATGAAGCTTCTAAAGTGATCTTTCCAGCATGTAAGTAACAACTAGCTTTAAATAAGAACTTTATAATGGCCCAAAGCTAAGAATTTCAGAATAACTACATCAAAACTGTATCTTTTTATTACATTTAAGTAACATCACTAAAGCCTCACTGTTGTTTTTGCTTAACTTCAAAAGTTAAAAATCTATCAAATAAAAACATTTATCTCTTTACTCAGCCCTTCCAGATAAGATTAGACAAGGCTGTAAACAAGATGTATGGCTTTCCTTGTTTTTCTAGTTTACAGGTCCCTGAAGAACTGTGGAAGAGTAACGCACACACTGGGAGGAGTAAGAAGAAGGAATTAGAACAGATGGCTCTGGAAGGGAACACTCTCAGCCCTT